TGTCACATCATCACAAAACTGAATGAAAATTCTGTCCTGATATGAATTTTCTAGTGCAGGTAACAAAGATGCCAGATTCCACCACACACGACCCAAATCCAATGGGAATGGCATCCGACAATTTTCAAAAAAATTTTCATAGTATTCTGTAAATGTTTCAATACAGTTAGCATGTTCAGGAACAGTAACTGCTGTTTGATATGCTTCATCACCAGAAATATAACTCAAATTTGAATGATCATCTGCAGTATCAACTGCAGCAACCTGAGGAGCAACAGGGTTTTCTGAAAGGATGTTATCACAAATATCTGCAGTATGTGGGAAGTTATTTCCACCAGTTAGCACCCAGAACTGCAACTGTAGCACAGTCTGACGGACATCACCAGAGTTCTGGTCCAATAACCTTTCAATTTCTGTACGTCTTACCCGAACACCTTCCAGAAGGCACATCGACTGTAGCCACGCACCTGGAAATAGCAGTAACAACTAACTGATTTGCTGATCACAAACATTCACCACATCAGAATTTATCTTATTATTTTAGACTTGCATTTCACCTAATGTCCAGCAATGCAATATAGTCTGTAAATAAAACTTCAAAGTATTTCCTCAATAAGGTTCAGAAACTGTTTTTCTTCTTGGTTACTTTAAGATGCTGTACCAAAAATTTATATCATGTAGAATTACATATTGTAAGGTAAGTTGGCTGTAATAATGAATTGGGAGGAATGTGGAAGAAAACAATCACTATAAATTGTAACCCAATGTCCAGTGTTATAATTACAAACAGTTACAATATCTTTAATTTATTGTGCAGCAAACTTTCAGCAGCAGCTGTATTGTAATAGCCATTAGCAACTGCTTATAGCTCAGAATTTCAGTGCATTCTCCCACTGAAACATTTTATACATGCTACTGTGAAAAGATTAATTTTCAGCTGCAGAAAGTTCAAATTCATAGTCTTCCGACTGCAAATACCAAATTTAATTCCAAAAGGTGGACAAGCTCCCTGATCCATCCACTTACTCATTCTTCCAGAAGGTGGTGCACTGAATTTCAGAACAAGATGCAGCTCCATGAGACGTGCTAAATGGGGGTAATGTGGTTCATTGGTGATCAATATCACTGGTCGCTTTGATGAAGCCACTAATGAATTCACAGCAGAAACAAAACCCTCATCTTCATCTTCATAAACAACATCCACCTGAATAAAGAACATTTGGCAGTGGATAATATGAGATTCAAGGTTTTCTTGGCAGTCAAAAGAACAATACATATGTTTGTAAAACTTCTTTTAGGCCAGTTAATTCTTTCCACTCATTTAATCATTTTATATGTCTGTTCCAAATATATTATAATCTTAACCAAGAAGGATGCAGTAAATACATCTTATGACTGAAAAAAGCAAGCAGTACTCATCTGTTACCAATAAAAGAGATCATTGCTCATGCAACATAAAGAAAATAGATAGTAGTTAACGTCCTACTTGGAATTTACAATGAAATGGCTGAATCTGTTTTAACATGATAATAAAAAATATACACATCAAGAAACACAAACACCAAGAGCAGAAAACAAAACATTACAAATTTTTCACACCAAGCCACTTAACTTACCCCTTCCACTAAAATAACTGACATCTTGCCACCAGAATTATGATCATCCCCGCTCTCTTTTGGTTTAGAAGCATTTCCAGCAGCCCCTGTAATTGTAAACATACCAAAAGGACATAATTTTAGCTGCCTGCAGATGACCTCTTAAGAATGCAAGTGCATCTGAATTGAAACTTTAGGCTCACTGAATCTCATCAAAGAGAGATGCTTCATAAAGCAAAATAATGCTTTAGAAAAAAATGGTCATTCAGTTACTCAATAAATGTCCCACTTTTTATGAAACCAGAAGGTTCAGTTCTGTTTTCACAATGCCTGGCACTGGACCTCATCTTGAGCCAGCTGAATTCACTCCACATCCTCAAAACCTCTTTCTTTATTTCACCTGATTTCTGGAGTACCTACTTGATTTCATCTTTCTTGACTTAGCAGGATATCCTTTGAAGAATGGATTCAACCCATCTGAGGCATGTTCTGAACCAGCCCTCACTTGGTGAGACTGTGTCGCTTCCTGAAGCTCAGACAGTATTCGCCTCCCATTGCGTTTCGATGAAGTATTGATCTCCAGCACCTGTACAAAATAAATGTATGGGGGAAACTCCATGACATGTTTCTTGATATAAGGTCCTCCTCGTTTCATCCAGTCAAAGTTGGTATGGTTGTCATTAAGGAGTTAAAAAACACCGATCGATATGAATGGCCTCCAGTATCATGCTATTTTTCACAGTTTCATAAGAATCATTTAGTTAGTGCTTATAATCATGGACATCTGCCAATGGGACACCTCACTACAGGAGCAGCTGAGGATTTTGAGGGGAGGCACATAATATTATATATAAAATCAGTCTAGCCTAACAAACTACATATGACAATCCACTGTCTACTGGCCACAAAATAACATATTTAATAATTTATACTCCTTATATATAAGATGAAATGTGTGGATTTCTAAAAATCGTAAGAGTCATGACACATGAAAGGTAAAGTGTCAATTGTCTATAATACAGACGTCCATAACTGACTCTGAAATGTATCATTTTCTTACCTTAAAACCAAGTTCATTAGCTATCGCATACACAGCAGATGTCTTCCCACAACCATGAGGACCAACCAAAATTGCTGTGTTATTTGGCAAATTTCTGTGACTGGTGTCATTAGAGTCACAGTCCATAAACTCATCTCCACTGCTTGAATCTGATAAATGAGAAAATGTTTACTGTAACATGGACATTTGAAAGTCCAATTAGAGCTTATGTTTGTCTTAATTCTCATCCATACTTTTGATATTCCTTTCAATTCTTAAGCATTCAGGTTGTGGATGTATACACTTTAGCTAGTGGGCTGGGTACAACACTCCACCTGGCTGCGTGTTGCCCTAGCAGACCAATGAACCATTAACCCAGAGTTATAAATTCTGCAAGCAGCCCCACAGTACAGGGATTTATATCCGCTATTCCCAAATAACAAATGTTAAATAGGTGCGATATAAAATTTGAATTATTTCAGTGCAAAAAATGGATACTTTAGTTAGAAAGAACATTCTTCTGCCAACCAGCAGACAAGTTGCAGCACAGTAGATATAAGATATTTTCTACCCAACAAAATTAAATGCTCTTACCCTTTCTCTTACAGTCATTTCCCTTGTCCCCATGCTGAACATCACTGTAATGCTTCCAATTCTCCAGCCAGTTTTTCAACTTCCCAATGCTATGTCCATTTCCAACAATATCATCCGCAGTTGTTGGTTTGTACTTTTCTGTCCACATGACATGTGAGTTCAGATCGCAATTTTCCTTCCGCTCCTCCTCAATTTTAACCTTTGATCTGGTAACCTTGCTCTTTCTGCTACGCCCCCCCTTCTCTTTAACAGCTTTTCCTGAAACATTTTCTGCAGGTTTGTTAAAATCTTGAATGCATCCTAAATGTAACCGTCTAAAGTCTCGATAAATTGGAAAATCTGGCGACTCTAATTTCAGAAGATGAAGCAATTTCCGAAAGCACGTAATTGGTTTTGGCACTGAAGGCTTTATGAAAGTACACATTTTATCTGTGTTATGACAATTACTGAAGGTGCCCAATTTAACCACTTCCATTTGCTTCAATGTTAAAGCGAATGACTCAGTTTGTGTGGTACGAAGAGGCAGTTCTGCTAAAGGCAGATTCCATATGCCGAGCTGGTCCCCCTGTTGCTGAACATGGGCTACAGTTGGAAATGTAAAGTGATACTGTTCTTCCATGCTGTAATTAAAAATAAACACTCCAGTTATCAACTATTTTAAAAACTGAAACATGCATACTTATGTTTGTATGCAATCTTACGACTCATGTTTTATAACATGGTTTCCAGAACACATACCTCCGTTGCATA